TTCATTTTATGATTTACTTCCATAAATCATAGAATGATTTGCTTAGTCTGCTTGTTATGTTTGGTAGATTCTTGCCAGCTTCCTGAGGTGGATCTTAGGCTTGCAGGTCTCTCTGTGAGTCTGTCTAACCAGTGTGCTTGAAGGCTAAGTCTAAGTAAAGGTTACGGATGAACACTAAAAATTAAATATAAGTAAAAGTCTTGTGTAGATTGTTCTTCCTTTCCTTCAGATGCTTTTCTGGGTCTGTTTTTCCAGTTGGCAGGGTCAACAGAAAGGACAGAGACAGCAAGTTAAAAAGAAATAAACTTATTTTACTGTAGTTTAAAGCAGCAGTCAGAATAACCAAGGTAATACACCTAATCATTACTACGTAAAGTTAGCTGTAGTGATTGACAAAGATACATCAGCAATTGCCCCAATACTTTACCATCATCTGGATCTGTGCCTCAGCTGGGGAGCCTCATCACAGTGAGGGATCAGAGAACTGTCCTGGCAATTGCCCATGAGGCTCCATCTTCGCACTGGGAGGGTCCTACTTTTGTACAGTTTAACGAACAATCTACGTGACTACGAGCACAGAAATATCTGGTTCATTGATGGTTTGTGTATCTATTTCTATCGGATGTGCCCGGCCCTGGCCAGGGTCCAGGGCGTAGTGGATAGGAGGAATGCTAGCTACGACAGTTCTTCAGTGCTTTATGTATCCATTCTTGTGAGAAAGAATGCTAACTGCTATAATCCTCAGCTTTCCCATGAGACTCCATGTAACATGGATCGGGTGAATTCATTCAGAAGTCAACTTTGGCTTCAGGCCTATGATTCAGGCCTCTCAGCTCAGGGTCTCAGCTGTGAGGGAGGCCCAGTTGAATTCAGTGTGCTGAGTCCAAAGGCAGGGTAAGGTAAATTGCTCTCATTTAGGAAAGAACAGTTGATGAGGCTCTGGATTTTAGTTACCTGTTGAGCACTGAAGGGTGTTAAATGCAGTGGGGTTACAGCCTCTTGGAATTGTTCAGTGTTCTTGCCATTAGGAATGCAGTGGTTGTAATTGTCTGTAGTTGATCACAGGATTGTGTGTTCTGTGGGTGAGGTTAGGAATGTGCACTATTCAGTGGAAGGCATTAACATTGGGGAGAGATACTTCTAAGAAATTTATAATCACAGCTTGGCCCGAGAAGGTGAGCAACAGCAAAAACAGCTTATCAAGACACGTGTGCTGTCAGATAGGCCAGCTTTGAGGCTGTAGACAGTACTGTCTGAAATGAGAAATTTTGTAGAGCTCAGCTGCTGCTTTTCTGGAGGAGAGTCCAGCCTTACAAAAGCATGAGAGGTTCTTTGAAGGCATCTGCATGTGTGTGACTATTTCATATCTTGTTAACAGCGTGAAAGACTTTCTCCCGAGTTGGACACAGCGGGTTGAGTTCTGTCACTTTTTGGTTAGTCTCTACAGAAACAGTGACTTGGTGAACAGACTTGGTAAACATACCTACAGGGAAATCGGGAAGGGAAAGGTTGAACAATGGTTTTCCTCCCGTGTCGTATAGACTTTTGACTTGTATATAATATCAAGAGAAGACAGTTACTTCACACTTTATTTTGGTATGCGTATGTGACCATGTAGTTGAGGAGAAAGATAAGTCGAATAGAAATGACTGTACTTTTCGAGATAAGCTTAAAAAGTGTCACCTGTCAAAAAAAGCACATAATTTCTTTTTACTACTAGGCAAAGAGGCAATAAAACAATTTTCTGTGAGTATTAATTTCAGAGAGAAGTGGTCAGTAAAATTGAACTACTTGTTGAGGCTAGGGAAGGTGGGAAATGCTGTGTGCCTGTACTGTGTCAAATGGATTTTAAAGTCTGTCCTCCTTCTTTCTCTCCTTAAGGTAACGAATTGTTATTCCTTAGATAAATGATTTTCTCTTGTGCCTCAGAATTCATTACGGGATACGGGATAATGTTAAGGTGCTAGAAAATTTGTCATGTAGTCCATGCTGTTTTCTGATTTTAAAAGTGATACTTGAAGGAACACTACAGATGACAATCTCTATTCATTTAGCAAAGACAACTTTATCCCCTTTTAATCTTTACTTCATAGTGTACAGGAGCGTGCTATGATAGGTTGAAGTCCAAACATTTCCTATGGTTTTTATGTTCACTGTCTGTATGTGTTAGTTTTAATGGTGGATTTCTGTAAGTTTATTCCCTTGGCAGAAAATTGTGAAGTAATGGTTGGGAATGCAAAGTACTTTTGTCTGTGCTTTTACAGTGCTGTTTGGGTATTTATGTAATGGAATAATAACACAAGATTTGTATAAACTGTTAATTGCAGGGTGGGTTTTGCCTCTAGAGTCATGGGATCACTGTGGTCCGAATATCTTATCGGTTGCAAGGAAACTTGTAGTATGAGCTTCATAGGTGTTTACTGTGTTGTGATGAGCACAGTTGGTTAGCTTTGACTAAAATAATCTTTATAAGAACAGAAACCTTGTATGAACTGTTTGTATAATTTGAAACATTTATAAAAATAAGTTCTTTCACCGTATGAGAATTCCGTTTTAACCTTTAAAAATCAGGTTTTCTGGTTTTGGCTACTTAACAGAAACCTTGTATGAACTGTTTGTATAATTTGAAACATTTATAAAAATAAGTTCTTTCACCATATGAGAATTACGTTTTAACCTTTAAAAATCTGGCTACTTAATATTTAATTTCCATTTACTTTTCCTGAATACGCTGTGTGTATTTATTGTGATCGTTTTGGTACTATGAGATTCTAAATGTCGGATTATTTTGGGAGGGACAAACGAGGTTATTAATTGAGCATCTAGGCAGCTGTTTATGCTACCTAGTTTAGTGTGGTGGCCCTGCACCAAATCTTTCTCAAGGTTTCGTTCCACAGAATTCTGCTCTCTCTAGGGCATCATCCCTTTTGGAAGCTGTACAAGCGTTTGTGGCAGAAGGGTGTGTTCTAGGTGTAAATGGGATCTTTCCTTCTTCCTGTTCTTAGTCAGTCAGGTGTGCTTCTCTGTGGAAGGAATTGTTCCCTCTCCTGTCTGGAATGAGAAGACAGAGTGGTTGTAATTGTTTCTCCCCTTCTGGCTGCCATTGGCAATTACGACAGATGGTGTTGAGATACATGTGTAGAAGTGTGTTATGTACAGCTTCTCTTTACAGCATCCTTGGGCTGAGGCTGTCAGGGTTTGTTAGATGTTCCTACACCTTACTGCAGGCACCTTGTCCAAACTTTGCTAAATATGGCTTCAGTGTTCTTACACTAAGCAGCTGCAGAGGCAGTGAGAGATCTTGTTCTGCATAGAGATGTTGGGATGTAAGAGGTTTGCCATCAGATTTGCAGTGGTAGCGAACCTTCCTGTTTCCAAACTGCCCAAGTCGACAAACACAGCAGGCATAATTCCCTGCGCCGTACCTAGGCGCTCAGGGACTGGGAACCATCAGCCATTTTTGGAGAGTACAGCCACTGAGAGTTTCATTTGTCAAGAAATCCTAGCTTTTGGGTTCGTTGATCGCTCAGCCTTAACTGCTTTTTCCTTTTTTTCTTATTTGTTCTGTAGTTAGTAAACAACATGCAGTTATAAAATATCTGGCTCTGCCTGATGCCTCCATTTCAGCTGTGCTTTGCAAGTTAGGGACGACACTCTCTCTGCCTTGGATCCTGTTCTCGCTCTGAAAGAGTTGAGACAAGACCCTTGTTCCTGAGTGCTCATTTGCTGCAAGAGATTTTTATTTTTCTTCTCAAAAAGGAAATGTTCTACTGGACTGATTATCTTCCTGCAGTTAACTTGTCGTATTATCTGCCCGATTCAGTTACTGAAGGTACTTGAGGATTCTGCCAAGCTTCAGCTTGTAATTGGAGTTTCAGGCTTCTAGCGCAGCCTGGATCTGATGACCTTTTTCTTTGATTTGATAGTAAACGAGTTCATTCCTTTGAGAAAAGGACTTTCCTGGTAACCCTAGTATTTGCAAGAAAGTGATAGCCAGACACTGTTCTCAAATAATTTACTTTTTTAGTTACCTTACTTTCTACCCAAGATCTTGCTGAAACTTGGCAACCTTATGCCAGTGTGAAACCAGCAGGTTACCTGTTAGTATTCTTCCTTGATCCTTCTGCTTTGGATTTGGAGCACCTTTGCCCGCTGTGAAAGAATAGTTCCATCATTTACCTTCCGCAGTAACTGACGTACTACTTGCATAGCTGTCGTGGAAGCTTTTGGAGAGAAAACACTTTTTTTGGTGTGATAGTTTTTCAGTAATGTGTCTGGAAGGTTCTTGGGAGCTTCCTCCAGGTGATACAGTCCTGGAGTCCCACTGTGGAACACCCATGGAAATGAGGGCTCTGAGAAGGAGGCTGTCAGACAGTGAGTTCAGATTTTGCTCCAACACAACATTCCCATGTCCTTGCTTTCTTTGTTGAAGTTCTTGGAGCTTTGAGACTGAGAATGCACCTTGTACTTCTCAGACCCTCATGAGAATACTGGGAAGCACATGGTAAATGGATCAGGTAGGGTTACAATGCATTCCAGGGCTGATTGCTTGTGCCACGTGTTAAGGTGAAAATTGATCCAAAAGAATTCCATTTAATGACAATGAACTCTTGCTTTGGTAAATAATTTGATATTCTATGCTTTATTTGGGAAAACTTGTATTATTAGGGTGCAGGTCTCCGAATTCTATGCAAACAGCTCCTGGGGGTTTATTGTACTAAACATATTTACAATTAAACACAAAAAATAGAACTAATAAGATGAAACCATTGACTTTTTCAAATTGGAAACTGCTCAGAATTGTTAATTTTTGAACAATTTTCTTATTCATGGTAGAACCAGCATTCAAGGCCTTGCAATTTTACACGTGATGACTTTTCAGGACTTTTGTACGTTACAGTGAATGTTTGAAAGTAGGTATTGTGAAGGATGCTTGTGTCAGTCTGCAAAGCTTGTTGTGTACATTCCATCCTCTCTAATAGTGCCTCACATTTACGTAGGTTCTACTAAAGAAGGAGGAGCTGGAGCTGTGGATGAAGATGATTTTATTAAGGCATTTACAGATGTTCCTACTGTACAGGTAAGATGCAGTGTATACTCATGGTTGTTTTCAGAAGTACGCTACTGGCAATGCTGTGTGTTTTTTTTAGGCAAGTGTCATAACTTTTCCTTCTTTCTGAATTTACAGTCTCCATGGGAAGCCTTTACTTTTTCCAGACAGTTACAAAAAACCCCACCTTTTCTTTACTGTCCTACTAATGATTATCACACTGTGTTTCAGCTAAAATCCATTACTGCTTTTCTTAATCTTTTCCAGGGAGCGAATGAAAATAATTGTGTGTTTTAATTTTAATGAGAAAAAGATTTCCGTAACGTTTGGAAAATTTAGGACTTCAATTTCACAGGATAATCTAATAATATAGGCAAATAGTTTAAAAAAAGTATTTTCATATGTGTCTGAATTGTAATGGTGCGTGTCTGGCATACATGTCCTCATCTCTAGCAATACTTAAAACCAAAATCTAGTGCATTATTTGAATACTAATGAACCTGTTGGATTCTGAGTTCTTAGTTGAAAGATGAGTTTTTAATTTCTATTCTTTAAGTGTGGGAACTGCACATACCTTGTACTTTCACACAGTTGAGCCATTTAGCATGCTTGTATCTTCCTAGACCTACTTTGAAAAGTTTCCCTTGAGCAGCTGAGGTGGAAGGCAACCACAAACTCAGTCAGCCATGGTTCCCAAACACCAGAAGGATTTTGATGACTCCTTTTTCTTCATACGTACTTCTGTTCTATTTTTATTTCCCAAGATGATAGTGTAGTTATTGTTAGACCTCCTCCTGTAGGAAGAAATACTGTCTGCTTTTATGAAGGAACACTTTATCTCAGTGGCTTCTGTCACACTGAGGAAATCTTTTTCTTATGCTGTAAGAGCTTTACGTTTCTCTGCCTCTCCAGACTCTGTTAAGAGTTCTTTAGAGGGCAGAAACATGGAGCTCTTAATATTATTTATCCCCAGTATGTTAACAGAGCCATATTCCGCTGCAGCGAATGGGCTGCCTCTAGTTTGATCCTTTAATATTTGCAGTCCCAAGCAGAGTTCTCTGATCACTCAAGTTGGTTAATGACGTTGCAAGAGTGAAAGTGGGATAAGTGTGTGTCGTTGATGAGCGCACACGACTTTGTCTGACTGCTGGATGATCTAGGAAGGTAGGGTCGTTCCTAAACTTCAGGAGGTGGAGGAGAAATACCCACTTGTCTTTACTCATCTCACACGAGTTGAGGTGAGGACAATAGGGAGAAATGCGTAACTGACCTCAGAGTAACCTGTTTGTTTCATAGATGAGAATATAAGAAACATCTGCTGACCAGGGAAAAAAAAAAAAAAAAGAGTGGAGGGTTTTGTGTGTATCCTTAGGAATAAAGACTTTGGTTGTGGACAATCTCTGGTCTTTCAACAAAAAAAAAAAAAAAAAAAGGCAGATCCCATGTTCTGAGGGCATGTTAATTACTGAGGAGAAAAGTTTCTGTACCAGACCCTGTGAATAAGAATGTTTATGACCTATAATTGGCCAGGTTATTCTGAAAGCAAAGAAAACTTGTCAGACGGAAGGGAGAGAGGGAGTTGGAGTTGTTAGTACATTAGCCCATTCCCATGTCTTTCTGTCTTCATCTGTCAATTTTACTGCTGGTTTCAGTGAAAGTAAGGAAGGGCATTACATTATGGAAAAACAGATCAAATACTGAATTAAAATAAAGTGCATCTGGATTAATGAAGTAAATGGAGGTTACTACCGGTTTGCGTACGTTTAGCTCTTTCTTAGAAGCCTCCAATGGTGGATCTGCCTTCCCAGTAACCTGCTCCAGTGACTGCTCATCGTTTATTTCTTAGGAATATAATATTGTTTACTCAAATCTAGTTTGCAATCCCCATATCCATATGTGTAGTTCGTAACCTTACTTGCATTTGAGCTTTTAATTTTTCTTTCTTTGATGTTGCACTTACCTTTGATGTATGTGTGTGTGTGTTGCCCTGTAATGAATAACAGCAGACTGTGAAGGAGATGGTGATTTTGAGATAGTCTGATGGATCTGTGTGCCAAAAAGTACTGCGGTGAGAGGATTGTGCCTTCGTATTTAAGACTACAACCATGTTTTTACCACTGTGTGCTTAAATTTGAGAAAATTCTGTGTTCAGGTTATTAGGAGTAACTCCTATTAATAGCTAGAATTTGGTTCACAAGAAGTTTAATTGTTTTATAAAAGTCTGATGTGGGAACTTGTGGATAAAAAAAATGTATTATGTCATTGACTGGACACAGAGTTTCGTCTTGTCCTTCTAAAAGCATAATTAATCAAGGGCAGGGAGAAAAGAAGTTACTAAAACATAACCTTTTATTCCTCTGAAACTAATATAGGTGTGGACCACCTTGACAATTTAGGATTTTTCAGTGGAATTAGAGTTTTAATTTCAGGACAAGATAAAATTTTGCCATTTGCTAAATTTCTCATTACAACGCCAATTTGAACAGCAGAAATTGCATAGATCCAAAATGGTTTGTGCCAGGTAATTAAAGAAAAAATTAAATTCTATGCTTAGGCATGCAAGAGGGCAGACATAAACTATCCCTTGTACCTGTTGCTTCTCTGCTTCTCTTTTGCCTAGCATGGTTTAATCCTTTGCCAGTAACTACAGCATATGGTCTCTGATAGTGCATATGATAACGAAAATGTCCAGTTTTTGAGGATCTACTCATTGAGACAGAACCTCAGGCTAAGTTTGCAGTGTGCACTGAACAGATCTGGTAGCTGCCACCAAAGGGTATGATCCCGCATCCCTACTTAGTGCGCTTCACTTTGTTGTGATGTGTTGGCACAGGCTGCTGAGTTGGCACCTTGTAGGCCTAGCTTTTACTGTGTTGAAATCCTGAATTGGGAAGGAGACAGGGCAAGGTGGGTGATGGTAAAGGGGGAGCCTGAGGAGGATTAATTTTGTCACGAATTCTGATGGCATTAGGGTCACTGTAATGTGAGATTTCATCTTAAGTTGACCAGTTACTACTCCCACTTTTAAAAGGGAAATAAGAAATTTCTTTGATAATGGAAATTGAATTTGATAAAAATGCTTACAGAGACAAATATAATGTTTATCCTTAATAGTGTGGTACATAGAGAACTAGTGTTGGAGCAAATTAGTATTGTGTAACAAGTATTATATGCTACCAGTAGTATACACAAGTGTATTAAACTGCGATACAAAAACTCAGGTTTGATTTTGTGGGCAGTGGACTAGAAAGCGTTATGCTTAGACTTACTGCATTTACTGAATCATTTACTGTTTTTAAATAAGTTCTGCATCAGTTGTTTATTGACTTCCAATGAAGAAGGGGGGTGGCAGTGCCTGTGAAACTTTAAATTTTGCATATTCAGTGGAAGCAGAAAAGAACTTATGTCTAGGAGAACAGAAGGGAAGTCACTTTATTTCTGATGTTGATAATATGTTTTTATGCTTACATTCTTTAGAAATCCACTGTTGCACATATACAGTTATCAATAAATATATTAATTAATGTATTACCAAATAGCAACCGACTTATGATTGGTCAGGCTTCAGTTTTGCTGGAGTTCCTGTGTACAGGATAGACAACTGTGACTGTAGGCTGTTCCTTAAATTTATTTACTGACTTCATAGGTTGTTAAATGATAGGCTTGGAGTATTAATATTGAAGCTATTGAAGGTACTAATTAATTTTTTCAGACAAACTTTTAACTTTAGTGCTGACTAGCAGCCCAGTTAGGCACTTGTAGAGCCCTGCACTCCTGTAATGCAGAAGAGAGTCCTTGCCCCAGAAGAGTTGCATTGGGTTCAAATCAAATTGGTTGAGTGTCATTGTAATAGTGGGTACGAAACGATATTGAGCTGCAGTATTACTGCAACAGGTTGCCTAAAGCCTCTGCTCAGGTTGGATTTTTTTAAATGGAGTTAATGAAATTGTAGATATGATTAGATCATCACAAAGGTGACAGGTGAAGTCTTGAAAAAAATGTTGATTCTTCAGCTTTTCTTTTAATGAATATTCACTACTCAGTGATATCATTAAGGATGTGCCTTAAAATGCTCATTTATACCTCTTAACACAGTTCCCTTAAAATTTTGGTGTTTGATTTTTTTCAGAATTATAATTGTATTTTCAGTCTTCTCGAACTGTTTGCCTTTACCAGGTTACCTGTGATACTAACAATATTAATGTTCTGTTTTTTAATACTTCAGATCTATTCTAGTCGAGAACTTGAAGAAACATTGAACAAAATCAGGGAAATTCTCTCAGATGACAAACATGATTGGGATCAACGAACTAATGCGGTAAACTACTTATCTGGTTTCAGGTTTGGGTGGGTGTGTTTCATAAAGCACAGGCAGCTAGATATTTTTAAATAGCTTTTCTCAAAGTAACTACACTTCAGTAAGCAAGTAAATTTTTATTTTAATTTTTGAACGTTTAATTTCGATGTACCAAATAAGTTTGAGCAAGTATTTTAAAAAGGCCAAAATACGTTGTTGCTGACATTTAAGTGGAAGATTTTCTAAAAGCCGTTGTGCATGTTTGAGTTTGCATTTATGCAAAATTACATATTCTGCAGGTAAGCTGCTGGCATTAGTCCTTACTACGTATGGCTACAGTAAGTTCCACTTGCAGGATGAAAAGGTTTGTGTGTACGTAGCATTTATATTTTTATCAGGTTTATGGTATCTCGGTGTTTGGAAACAGGTATGTGAACAGAATTATATATTTGTGTATTTGTCAACTGGGATCTGAGACTTTTTAGCTCTAGAATTCACATAATAGGTTTATTTTACAATTTTTGAAATTACTACCTTATATTTCAAAATGATGCTTTGCTTTAAAGACATGCCTACGTATATTTTTGCAATGAAGTTGTTACTTTTTTTACTTTGAGGTGCATATTGGTAGTGTCCTCGACTAAATGCCTTAAATTTTTTAGCTGAAGAAAGTTCGGTCACTGCTTGTTGCTGGAGCTGCACAGTATGATGGATTTTTCCAGCATTTGCGGTTGTTGGATGGCGCTTTCAAGCTGTCGGCGAAGGACCTCAGATCCCAGGTGGTTAGGGAAGCATGCATTACGGTGGCGTAAGTATCTTCTATGTGAGTCTGTGTATGTTGCTGGATTTCAGTGTCAATTTGACTTAAAGATCCTTTATCGGTGTTGCAGGAGAGATGATCTTGTTGGGCTGCTGTATATTATAACTGGTAAAGAATCCAGTCAGCATCTGAAGCTGCAGAGAAAAAGGCACATTTAAAGGAATTTATTCTTTTAGGTGATATATGTAGTTGATAATCCTATAGGAGTTTGTCTGTGAGGAACACATTACCTTCACTACACCGAGTACTTAGCACAGGGTGATAGAAACTGCTCTAAGTGCGACTGTAATACTGAGGGCTACTCTTAGGTGCACTTAGTTTGAGTGATTGGCACAGGACTTTACTGTGAGTACCTGTAATAAAGTGAGCCACCCTATACTGTTTTGAGTCCTTTTGCTTGACTGTGTAGTTGTCTGAAATGAAGTTTAAAAAGACAAAACCCAAGTGAAAGCTTTAGTAAAATATTGTACATTTTGGTGAGGTAATATCTTCGATGTCCGTGATAATTTTAGAAGCTGTGGCTAGCCAGAAATAAGGTCTCCATCCTCATCATCTTGGGGACTTTCATTAAATTTGGGGAGAGAGGAAATAAGCCTTATTTTTACACCATGTTTTCCATGGTTTGTTGTGGATTTTTTCCCCTCTGGAAAGGCATGAATGTAACCACTGATTCTCAGTGGCCGTGTGGAACAGATACACCCCAGATTTCACCCTTGCTGTTCTGGTCTCTGGCTTAAACATACCATGAGGACCTGTTGGAGCATACAGCTGTCCCTGCCAGGGAAATTCAGGCTTCGGGGAAAATAATGCTAACCTTTCCTAACGTGAAGTAGGGAGTAGCATAAAAGTACTGCAAATGTCCTCATCCTGCATTAAAAAGGAAAAACATCTTGAACGATAAATCCAAAATCTTACGGAAATCATTTATTTTCTAGGTGTGTTAAAAAGCAGAAATACTATGATATTTTATGTGGATATGAGAATTTTAGCCTTTCAAATTGAAATTCTTGTTTTTCATTACAAAATGACGTTATTAGTGTTCAGCTTCGTAATGTCTGCTAAGTAACAAAAATATTGCACAAATCCTGCATTTCTAGGGACTAGGAAATTACAAAAATCAAGAAATTCTGTTGTTTGGAAAGCTAAATCCTTAAAATGTAAAATTAACTTTGTTACTTTAAGACTAAGAAATTAATTTTTGTTAACAACCTGTATTTATTTTTCCTAAACAGCCATCTTTCAACTGTTTTGGGAAACAAGTTTGATCACGGCGCTGAAGCTATTGTGCCTACTCTTTTTAATCTGGTTCCCAACAGCGCCAAAGTGATGGCAACTTCTGGGTGTGCAGCCATTAGATTCATTATTCGGGTAGGTGTTCCTCTCTCACTTTGCTTCCTAGGAACATTCAGGTAGTGGCTCTTAGCGGAGATGATAACGAGTCTGAAATACAGGGTTATAAGTCATTCTTTCACGGAGAGGCAATTTTTCTCACAGGTGAACCAATATTATTTATCATCGAAATCAATTGGCAGCATTACTGTTGCAAAGATGGAGGAATAGGTGTGAAAAGCAAGTCCGTTTCATGGGTTTCTTTGTGACATGTTAACTGTAAAAAGGCAAGTGTATTGCAAAGTTTAACTGGGTTTAACTGCCTTTTTTGGAGAAGACAAAGTTAAGCTAGTAGTTAAGAAGCGCTTTCATTTTACAAAGGAATTACGTATAAAATAATTGGAACTGTGGAGTTCATGATAAAATGTTGAAGAGGCCAGAAATATGTGGATCAGTTGAAAATGCACAAGTTCATGGAAGAAAAGCCCAATATCAATTTTAATCTTTGAGTTTAAGAACTGTCTAAGACGAGTCCTTAAAGCTGTAGTGCATAGAAGAGGGGAATTCTGTATATTAGCTGCTTTTTTAATTGTCTGTTCTTAAGCATCTGCTACTGACTGGTGTCTGAAGCAAGATACAGCTAGATTTTTGGGACTTGTACTGATACTTTTCAATTTCAAATATGAGTGGGAAGTTGCCTATAGTTTCCACATCAAAAGCTGCCAAGTTCTTAATGCTAGTCACTTTCTGCTGCTCACTGTGATCTCATCTGTGGTTTTAATTTTCTAAGTTGTTGGAAACCCAGGTGGTTTAATCACACCTTTTACTGCTGTCCTCAGTATGTTTTGGAATCTGTACTTACTGTGCCTAACCATGCCTCTGAGAACGTGCTGTGAGACTCCTGCATTACTGTTGTGTCAGCGCTTGGGCCAAGGAACGCTGGCATTTTTTTCTCAGACTCTTGCAATGTGCTGTGAGGTGGCGAATGCCAAGGAGTTGAGAGTGGAGGAAGGAAAACACCTTGCACAGGATGATTTAACTTGTGAGAGAGCAATACCATTTGCAGTAGGCGAGTTCAGGCATGTAAGAAACTAACCCTTCTTTGTTGTTTACAGGGGCCAAATCAAGCACCAGAAAAGCAGCAGGAAATAAAAATTCACCTATTATCTTACAGCAGTTTTATGGGTTCAGTTCAGTTGGAGACAAGCCTACACATCCGCTATAGCTGCCCTGATTTTGCTTAAACTTCTTATTCTGAGCTGTAATTTAACACACTAGATTGGAGTCATAGAAGCAAGAAAATACTATCCATGGGTGTTCAAACACCCAACCAATAAATCGCTCATGCAAGGTGTTCTGACAGAAAATTCAGGTTTCTTTGGAAAAAGAAATAAATATGAGTGTCTGATTGCTGTGAGAATCAGTCTCCATAAAAAGAGGGAGGCTGTATTATACCAGTGATCTACAAGTGCTCCGTCTCATCTTTGCTGCTTTCTTGGATTTCATGTTTCTTCTCCAGATAGTTCTTGCACTGTAGTCTGATTTCTCTTTCTTGACTCTTAGTAAATCGAGAAAGCAAGTTGAAAAAAAAGAAAAACGGGCAGGGAGAGGGTGTGTCATGATGGCAGAAAATCTTTTCCAGAGGGAGGTGAGATTCAGGTTGGGCAGTTGAGCCGCAGGGTGGGTTGGGAGAAAGCGTGTGTCACTACAGCTTCAAAGGGGGAACAGATGAAATGTGCAGTCTTAAAGCTGAATGAAAGCAAGCCTGAGGCTTTGATTCCTTTGCAAAACACTTTCTAGAAATTACAATGTCAGTAGCTCCAAAGACTTGGAACATACAGGTTTCTCCATCCATAAAAATGTTTTATTCTTTCCCATGATTGTTCCCTTGCTGGCAGTCATGTGCTGCTTTTCAGTTTGAAAACTATGCAAAGCACAAACAAAACCCCTAAAACCCTGTTTAAAAGTGTATTAGTATGAACAAATGCAACTGTAAGGCTCTTCCAGATTTTTGGATTAACTCCCTCCTAATTCTGAAGTTGGCAGTACTCTGAGAGCTGATAATTATCTCTCTGCTTTTCTTGGCGATTCGTGTGTTTATACCCTGCAACAATAACCTGAGGAGAGAGCATGATACAGGAGAGCTAAGAATCATTCTGCACTACACTTTTAAACAGTTTTTTAATAGGCTGCAGTCTCACACTTTCCTGGGAACTGTTTTGAAGTTGTGTTTAATCAAGAAAATAAGAAGTGAACCGAAAATGGATTTGTTGAACCATGTTGCTTTTACTTGGAATTAAAATGTTAATACTCTGTGTCTACAATTAGTTAAGATAAGGTTAAGTAAGGCTGCTTTAATTCCGAATTAAAGTATTGCATTTGGATTAAATGTAGTTTATCTTATCCACTTTAAATGGCAGTTCAAGGTTTTTCTTTTCCCATGAGCATGTTAGGTGTTTCCATATAGATTATATGCACAAGCTTGTTTATATTACATGTCATATTTTTATTCTTATTGACAGATTTTCCATTAAAAGGAATTTGGTCTTTGTAGCACTGATTGTATTGATTCATCTCTAAAAGATTGCCTATAGTTTCAGATGGGTTCATTTGCTTTTTGTTCCACAGCTCTGATTTTTAAGACTGTCAAGTCTATGCTTTTTTTTTTTTTCTGTGGCGAAACTAAAACAACACCAGCTTACAACCCCTTTGGGGTGACACATTGAGCCTTCGTTTGTGACTTGTAACAGCTAAATATTGCATATCGTGATGTGTGTGACGTGATGATTGTTCATGAGATTGCTTGACATTTTGGTAAAAAATAGGTGTAATCAATTCACATGCTAGCAGCGGTCTCTTATTTAACAGTGTTCTACTTTTAGTTTCAGTAAGCAATTTCAATGATGGCAACTTTTATTATGTTGGTAATTCCATTTGACTTAATGGGTACAGTGCAAATTCCGGAACGCTTTTGTCATTAACTGACTTGTTTTTTCTTCAGCATACCCATGTGCCACGACTCATACCTTTAATAACAAGCAACTGTACCTCAAAGTCAGTTGCCGTTAGAAGGTGAGTACATTATCAATGACAAATTATTAAAGCTGTTGCTTTTTTAAATATGATGACTATATGTTCAAAACAGATTTGAAGATTTATGGCCATTAACTCTGAATACACAAAACTCTGTTATCCAGCTAAGTACAAAAATAGATTTCAGCAAAGTTACACTGGTGGATGTTGAGGAGTGGTACTTTCTGCCATAGTGGGGGCATCTGCATCCCTCAATTTAAGTGGTACTTTCTGCCATAGTGGGGGACGTGCACTGCATCCCTCAATTTTTTCTGATTTGAAGTGTTCTAGCACTTGTTGAAAAAAGTACCTTCTGATTTAAAACCAGAAGGAAACCAAAAAAGCTGTAGTTGAATCTGCATTGCTTAGTCTGATGAGAAGAAGCAACGCAGGTATCGAGAGGCATCGGGAGAGCATGGAACATATATGCACGTCTTTGCCAAGATCAGCCTGAGCCTGGGAGTTACTGTTAGGGCCAGACTTGACAGGCCTGGTGAGGTCAGCTCTTGTCAAAGCACTGCAGTGTGTGACAGCACCTTGCTCTCCTGATGCCAGGAGGACTCCGCAGCATTTGTACCATGCGGTTTGAGTGCGTGGAGCAAGGCTGGCTGATACTGTGCCCAGAATAGTAACCCTGCCATGCTGGGGACTGTGGGGTTAAGACAGTGGCCGCTACCTTAGACAGGACGTGACGGGTTGTCATGTTTATCAGTATGCCTAAGTATCAAGTTTATGGTATCAATAAGAGGTATGTCTTCAGCATGTTGCTGTTTCCCGGCACGTTGTACTTGAACACTTGCATGGGCTCTTGAGAGAATTCATTTATTTCTGACAGAGTTTTATTTTCTGCACGGAATCTCACAGGAGGAGTTCAGACTGTTTCTGGACTCACTCTAACCTGGAAAGCAATACAGCTGTGTGTGCAAGAAATAACTTGAGCATCTAAAGTATTTGTTCTGAATCTAAACTGTTTTTTCATCTAAAGCAAGTATTGCCTGAATCCAGATTATACTGACCTATCATAACTTCTGGTTTGACCACTTACCATGGCTTTGCTGAGGAATTTTAGACTGTCGATGGCTTTGGTGCTGCAGTTCACAATCTGGCGAGCATCAATGAATGTGGCCATAACTGCATTGTTTTCATACTGACTCAAGTGCTTTGGAAAGACAAACTAAAACTAGATCGATTACAATAGTGAAGAGCCTTTCAAGGCTTCTTGCCAAGTCTTGTAGGTGTCCAAAGAATTTGAGCAGAATAAAAATGAAATCTGCCCCTCCAGAACAGGTCAAAGAGGCAACATAGCCAGAAAAAGTAATAGTTTCAGACTGTCTACTACCTTTTTGGGACTTGTTACCTAGACCTTCCCAATCCGTGTCACTGTTCACCATGATCTAGCGTCAGACGTATTTTTCAAGTGTGCCTTTTGCTAATGTCTGTCTGCTAAATTGTGAAGGATTTTGAATCAATAATGAATAAGGTTACATAGCTTGGTTTGTAGAGTGCCAGCCAATCTTTAGGAGTGGTTTCGGTGTGCAGAGCCTTGCACTAATGGTCTCATGTTTTCCTGTATGCTATATACTCGATAATGACAGATGAAAGGGTGGGAATAGTGTTTGGGAGAGAATTACGCTGCTGGAGAAACATTATGTTGTGACTTCATAGCTGAATTTTTAAAGTAGTGATTTTTAAAAAATCTTATATATTAAGATTTTATCATTTGTACTTTTTTTTAAGCTTTATTGGTTTTTGTCTTATTTTGGGGCTGATAAAAGTAACATATCATATGTGCAGTAATATGACTTGAGCCACAAATGGTTACTTGTACCACATCTATTTTTTTTGAGGTTTAGGATTAGTTAGCCTGCATGTTTGCTTTTTATACAGAATATTTCAACTTTGCAGTAAGGTGACCAGTGTCGTCATTTGACAGATAAACATACTTTCATGTATTTGTTTCCCTCAGGGGAAAGAACAGAGTTGTTGTTTATTCCACAAGCACATTAGAGAAATGAGTATTAATTAAAACTTTTTGTTCTGTCTTTTTAGGCGCTCCTTTGAATTTTTAGACCTGTTATTACAAGAGTGGCAGACACATTCATTGGAAAGGTATGGGCCTGTATACTTTTTCCCCAAGTACAAACTGCTAATGAATTTTAAGACAGAAATCTTTTCATAGGATCTTGGAATTGGATTATGTTGTTAGTGTTGGCCAACCTCTCTGGCATAGACAACCATTCTAACACAGCAAGTCATGTGGCTTATTCAGGTGCCAGGGAGAGGAGAGCTGTATGCTCCAGCCTTGACTTTGTGTTTCCTTCTCTCATCATCCTCCACCTCACATCCCGTACCTCACATGAGCAACGCGTACGACGCTTTGTAGTTTCACTTACATCGTGTATCCTGTGCAGTAAAGATGCACAGGTAAGCATCTGTCTTTTCTCCTGAAAGGAGGAAATTTGTGTGTTCGCCATAAAGAGGGAAGGTGGGGTTAGGCTGGAGGACTTTGTCTGATAAGGAGTAAGAACACATTGTAGCTTCTCTGGGTATGTAGGAAAATCGTACATGCATCAGCTCTGCAGGATGTGTACTGCAAGCACAGAGTGAGAGCAAATGGTCTACAAGGCCTCCAGAGAAGGCTCTGAAGAGCTGATCCAGCTCCACAGTCATGTTTCAACCCCTCAAGGTGCTCCTGAGAAAGGGAGCAGCGGGGAGATCACTTTGTGTGTCAGAGTGCGTATGCGTGCATTAACAAAAAAACCTCAAACAAACCCCCCAAAACCAACCAAACAAAACCCCAAACAAGCAAACAGAACAGAAAAAGACCCCAAAACCTATTTTGAATTAAAACCTGTTTATCACCACAATCTGTTTTTTTCTGGTGGGCGTTTTGCCTTTCTTTGACTGTGTGTTGAGATTTAGAACTTGTACACCAAAAGCCTTCAGAGATGAATTTCCAGGAAAGCAAACTTACTAATCTTAACTTTTTTCTTTTTCTTCCTACTAGTACGGATGAGGAAATAATTTTTCCATTTCAGTAAAGCAGGTGTCTTTTAAAAAAGTATCTTTAAATAACTTTTCAAGTCTTCTAGGTAGATATATGTCTGGAAAGTAGATTGTGATTCTTTTAGATTGAAGGAGAAGCTTACCTAAACCTGTACAGAAGGTGCAGTTATGTCATTGGTGTGCTTAAGCATTTGTTTACTTCGTATCTCAGAGCTACTATCTCAGCTGCTTTTTACTTAGAGAAATGTTAGTTAAAGGGTAAAACTTCACTAAAAATAGAAATTGGAGCAGCAAAATGGCATGAAGAATGTCTGTCTTCTAGGCATGCAGCTGTCTTGGTTGAAACCATCAAGAAGGGCATTCATGATGCTGATGCAGAAGCAAGAGTGGAGGCAAGAAAGTGAGTTTTATCTACATTTCGCTCTGAAAACTGGTGTTTTTTACATGAGTGATAAAAGGCTCTAATCAGAGGTGAGCGGCTAACTACAGTTGAAGTGGAGCACACAGAATCAGAGGTGAGCGGCTAACTACAGCACACAAGTGGAGCACACAAGTTAGGTTGAAAATTGATGTTTCTGTTCTCAGAGTCCAGAATTAATATCTAGTTTCTTTTGCAAAAGGCATTCTGAAAGTTGAGGCAATTAATACTGTCATGCAGCATTTGAGGATTCTACTGAAACAGGAGTCATAAAGGTTGATATTGCTGCATAATAGTTATTTTTGCCCCCCAGTTAAGTCATTAAACATCTGCAGCACTTTGACTAATGAGTAGGTCAGAAAAGAATTTTGCTCCCCCACAGAATTGGTAAGTGAATGTGAGAAGTTAATTCAGTCCGCGTAGCTGCTTTTTTATGATTGGAGCATTAGTGCATGCATTACGTATTTTCAGTCTGAGTTCCTTTCCTTCCTATCTCTGGTTCATCCTGTAATCTTTTACTTCCTGACTCCACACTTTCAAGAAAATCTGGAGCAATTACATGTGGTTATTCTCTTATTTTGCAGGGCTTATCTGGGTCTTAGAAATCACTTTCCTGGTGAAGCTGAGACTCTGTACAATTCTCTTGAGCCGCCCTATCAAAGAAGCCTCCAGACCTACCTGAAGAGTTCTGGCAGTGTAGCATCTCTCCCCCAGTCAGACAGGTCATCCTCCAGCTCACAGGAGAGCCTCAAGTAAGGGTCACATAACTGTTTCTGAGCCTATAAACAAATAAAAACTCTCTCAAAAGCAAGTGAGCCAGACTTCTGTGGTGTATAGAAAAGCTGCAACTATATTTTGTCTCTTTTAGGTTTGTTTAATCAAAAAACTTTTATTGTGCTTTGCTATATGACAGTATTATCCCAGCAAGATGAAAAATAAGGGGAGTCATTAACTGAATTTTAGCAGGCTGTTCTTATTCATTTATTTATGCTGGCAACCTCTATTACACCAAAATATCTTCAAGGTTCTCATATTGATGTCCAGTATTCTCATGCAATTAGTAAGTCTAGGAACAAAATGATGATGTTAATCCTGTTTTTATCCCTTTCACTGGGAAGCATGAGAGAGAGACATTGACAGTGAGATTCATTCAGATCCGAGATGGGTTTTTCTCCTGTCTTCACAGTTTCTTCGCCCCCCACAGCCAGGGGGTTGGCACTAGATGATCTTCAAGGTCCCTTTCCACCCAAACAATTCTATGGATCTGAGTATTCGCAGTGTTTAGCAGCTTTCTTAGTTACTAGAGGACGGGTTTGTGCTGCAGTCAGTGGTGTATTAAAATGTATAGACGGTCTTGAACAATTCAGTAGATTAAAGTTGGCTTATGTATCAATAGCAAAAAAGATCTGCTGGCTTTTTAGTAGAAATGTAAAATAGTAGTAGTATGTGGTGGGGTTTTTTTTGTCCTTTAGATTCTGGAAAGCTGCCTCGAAGTTAAGATTTCCATTCAGATGCTTCGTTTCCAAAGCCTGAGAAGTTGTCTGCTCACTTCTGACTTGAAAGCAAAGACTGCTTCCAGCATGTTGGAAGCTAATTTCTCTCTCTGTTTTGGCTGCTGCCTTATGTACCAGAGGCTTTCCATCTTCTATGTCAAGTCTTATCTTTCCTATGATATTTGTAATAATAAAAAACTTTTTTAAAATTGCCTGTAATACAGGCTATTGCTAACACTTCCACCAGAAAAATGTTTATTCAAAGATTAATTAATCTTGTTTAAATTAATCTATATTCCCTGTCTGAAAATCAGAGTGCTGTTAAAGAGTTACTAGTAATAAATTGTTAAAAACTAAATTACGGATAAATTAGCATCTTAAAAGTACTCTTAAATCCTCAAGTAAGTGTTACTTCCTGTATTGCAAGATACCAAGTACTGCACTACAGAAAGGGAAGAGTAAAGTAAGAGATGAACAGGAGAGATCATGATACTGGAAATTAATTGTTTCTTCACTAATTTTCATGTTTCAGAAATATGTTCCCTGTGTTACCCAAAATTATATTTCTGGCTTCTAATTCAAATGCCGAGTTCTCCCTGTATAGACTATCTTGCAACATATGGGTATGGTTTTCCTAGAAGTCTGATCCTCCATGATTTTTGACCCTCTGAACTTAAAGCTCTTACAGATCATTGATCAAAAATGTTTTTAAAAACGATGGTGGAATGATAGAAATGTAATGACTTGTGCCTACCTGTATGAAACTGCTTAAATGAAATGTCAAATCACAGTAGATTGTGCAAGAGCTGAAATTGTAACAGTTGTCTGGGCCTTCTGTTTGGATCAACTTGTAAGGTCAGGATGCACCCAGGATGCACCCTGGACCTCCTCAGCTTACTTGCAGCAAAACACCTCCAAAACACTAGTTAGTAATGTCAGAAAATCAGGTATTATTGATAATAAGTTGCAAATACAGGATACTCTCTGAGGAGTTAGGCAGCAGTGCTGACCTCTGTATTGTCATTGAGCACCTGAGCTAATAAGTCAGATGAATGCATAATATTGTGCATCTCTTCTCTCTGCTTTTTGGTTTAAAAATTTTAAAATTAAAATTGTTTGCTAACCCTGGGACTGTAGATCAGGTTGTAATTTGACAACCGATGAAAGTCAGCTATTCCTAGTCAAATGACTATTTAGATGGCTAGATGTCAGTGAATGAATGAAGTATCATGCTTGCTTCCTTCCTTTTCCCTGGTCCCTCTGACTGCATTTTACCCTTCTGAACCAGGCAGAAGGAAGAGCTCACAGTTAAGCTTGAGTAGGCAAAGATTATTTACTTCAGCAACTACTAATATTTGCAGTAAGAGTAAAGGGGAATGGAGAGAAAACTTGGAGGAAAGTATGTGTGACTTTTCTCCTTCTGTAAATTGAGGGAGCCTCTAACGATCAAACGGGAAATGCAGTCTAGCTGCTTGGAAGTTCCACCTTTTTCCTTTTTAATTTGTAACTCAGTTCTTGGGAGATACAGGACTGGAAGAGGTTTAGGAATCGTACACCTTTTCCTTGTTACTGCAGACACTACATAACTTCTTTCATAAATCGAGCTTTTTGTGTAGCTCCTGCTGTTTCTGTTTGACAACTGATGTATCAGCCTGTCGTGGTTTAACTCCGGCTAGCAAAATACCACGAAGCCGCTCTCCCACATGCCCCTCCCCTCCT